AGCCCGTGTTCAATCCCCAGCACACACAAAAACTATGCTAAGTAGCAGTAATGATTCAGACGTATACATGAGGGTAGGAACTGCAGAGAAGCTGACACAGCAAGATGGCAACCTGTAAACTGAGACATTGGCCTGGGGTTCTATTTCTCCAGTTCTTTTCTAAGTTTTATATTATCTTAAAATAACAAATAAAATTTGAAGAGAATACCAAATTCGATGAAGACCACACCTACTTTGCCCCTGGAGCATACATAGGCACATTCATATACATGCATATAGGTACCATACATGCTCCCACACACATGCAAACACACAGTGCAACCTCACAGCAGCCCAGAGAGTCATCCAATCTTGGCACTACTGTCTGACTGGAGAAACACAGGCCCAAAGTATGAATCCCTATCCTAATAGCAGAGAACTGAGAGAACCAATGGTCTAACTGGGGACAAATACATCTACCAAATACTACTGGACCACGCCACTGTAAGAAAAGTTCACTTCCAAAATGCATGAATCCATGGATGTGCACACTGCTACATCAACACAAAGTGAACAAATGCTTTGCTGGAAAGCCAGATACTTCATCCAATCTTCCTATTCTCCCTTCAGAATTTGGAAAGTACATAAAGTCTACGGTACACACAGCGGTAAGGGAAAAAATATAATCTAAGTTATTACAAAGAGAAAAGGTGAATCAAAGGCAATTACTACAGAATGACAGCATTCAATTTAAAAAGTAAACAAGAAACTTTTGTGACTTCAGGAGGAATATTACAAAAGCTAACACACAGGCACAGGACTACAATCCCAGCTAATTAGGAAGCCAAGGCAATAAATATACTTAGAAAATATAAAGAACTCATAAAACTTAATAAGCCAACAAGAACAATAAAACTGGGTAAAAAAAAAATTAAACACACACTTCACATGTGGTTGGGGAGATGGCTGGGTGTTTAAGAAACAAAACTCATATTCTCAGAAGACAGGTAAATGCTAGGTAGGATTTGGGGGGGGGGGCAGTCTGCCTACAGTCCCAGAGCTAATTAAGGCAGAGACAGGATCCCCAGAGGAAGCTCACTAGTCAGACTATCTATATGTGCAAGTTCTGGCTTCAACTGAGAGACCTAGCCTCAATAAAATGGTGGAAATTGATAGAGAAAGACTCCCCACACATAAGCCTCTATATACATGTATTCAGACATACGCATCAGTATCATATATGCCCACACATGCAATGCAAACACATCCATACACACTTAACAACCATACACACTTACCACACACACGCACACAAGAAACAAAGATACACGCGTGTTCATTAAGTATATAAGAAGATATTCGATATTATTTGTCATCAGGGAAATACAAATCAAGACCACAAAGAAATATTACCTCCTGCTCACCATGAAGGTTACAACGAAAAAGCAAAGAGTAGCAGCAATGACAAGGACTTGAAGAAATTCTAACCCTCAAAATCTCTGGTGAGAAACAGAGGGTGGAGCAGCCTCTGTGGGAAACCGTGTGACAGACAGCTTTGCAAAATACTAAGCATAGTCTTACAGTGTGACTAGCAGTTCTACTGGGCCTCTACCCATGAGCCGGATAAAATCGTGTGCACACAGAAACTAGGGTGCCTGCTCATGGTATCCTTTTTCGTGACAGCCAAAAAGTGGTGTGGCAGTTTGAATAGGAATGGCACCCGCAGACTCTTGTGTTTGAATGCTTGGCCTATAGGGAGTGGTATTATTAGGAGGTGGTATTATTACCTGTTGGAGTAGGTGTGTGGTCTTGTTGGAGGAAGTGTGTCATAGTGGGGGTTGGCTTGGAGGTGTTATATATGCTCAAGCTAAGCCCAGTGTGGCACACAGTCTCCTTCTGCTACCTTCAGATCAAGATGCAGAACTCTCAGCTCCTTCTCCAGCACCATGTCTGCCTGCATGCCTAGCACCATGCTTCGTGCCATGACGATAATGGAGTAAACTTCTGAAACTGTATGTCAGCCCCAATTAAATGTTTTCCTTTATAAGAGTTGTCATGGTCATGGCGTTTCTTCACAGCAATAAAACGCTAACTAAGACGAGTAGAATCAAACTGTTCAGCAAACAGTAGATATCATTGACACAAACTACAGTCACCAGGGAAGAGGAAAGCTAACTTGAGGAATTGCCTGCATCAGACTGGTCAGCGGACATGTGTAAGACGAAATAATCCCTTTCTTTCTTCCCTGAGTTGCTATTGGTCATATTTTATCATGACAATAGAAGGCAAATAAATAACTACAACAATACATAAATAACTAGAATGCGGTGTGTCTCGATATAGGAATACCATCTTCTGGGTAATAAAAAGTATTGATGAGTGCTGCGAGATGTGGGAACCTCAACATGTATGAACATGTATGCTGGGTGAAAGCAGTCAAACACAAAGGTCACACAGTATATGATCTAGTACATGAGAACATTCTGGGGCTAGAGACTGCTCAGTCAGCGACATGCTTGCTGCACAAGCAAAAGGACCTGAGTTTGGAACACCAGCACCCAAGTAAAAGGCCAGATGCAGTAATCCCAACACAAGAAGGGTGATGGCAGGAAAAACCCAGGGCTGCTGGCCAGCAAGTCTAGACCAGTTATCGAGCTCCAGGTTCAAGGAGAGACCCTGCCTCAAAAATACAGGAGAATGCAATTGAAAAAGAAACTCAACATAGAGCTTTGGCCTTCACAAGCACGCACGTATGCACGCACATGCACAAATATCCATAAGAGGTAGTCCTTGTGAACAGAACAATTAGTGGTTGCCTAGACATAGAGGTAGAAAAAAAATGAAATTGCAAATGAATGCGTTGCCCAGTGTAGATAGAAACAGAGATGCATGACTGTTCACGGCTTGTTTTCTTAACTGTCCCAAGCCGGTAGCCATCCAAATGCCCAGCAATAGGTGAGTGAGCAAACACACACACAAAAGGCACTAGTACTCACCAGCAGAAAAGGAGCAACCCGAGAACCCGTGCATTGGCATACACAGACCTCAGAAAGTATGATGAATAAAAGCAAAAGACACCCGGACATGCATCACAGGTCTCCGCTTAGATAAGAGAGTCTAGATAATAGATAATAGAGATTCAACAATTGTGACTGATCACAGTGAGTGCCTAGGGGTAAAAATAAAGGAAGAAATTGGCTGTACAGAAATTTCTTTAAAAGCGATCATGATGTTCTCTGTGCAACTGGAACACTTTGTATATATGTACTGTCACACTCATCAAGCTATACACGATAAATTACAAGCTACCCTATAGAAGTCATACCTCAATTCAGTTGGACAGGATGAGAAACAATCATTCCTGATTACTTGTACACTGTCTATTTCATTTCAGCCAATATTTCAAGGAACAAACTAATTTTTTAAAAAAAAATCAAAGAAATGTTTAAACAGCAAACAGGCCTGCAACCTGCGCTTCAGGTCAATGTGTTTTTCACAGAAAGAAAGAGCTAGCGGATTAGAGTCATAGGGCCTGATTCTCATCCCTAATCCCACAGAGAAAACAAATGGCTCTGGGCAAGGGACAACTTCCGCCAGACTGTCTCCACATCTGTAAAGTACATAATTCAGGCTATTACACAACATATTCAAAATTTTCAATCCTTAGGTTTACTGCTTTAAGACAGACTCCCTTGAGAGACAAAATCCTATGACAGCAGGAACTGTACCTGTTTTATCTCCCACTGATCCTCACTGCCAATCCTAACCTACTATAGAATAAGCACCAAACTGCACGTAGAAGGCCGTTGACCAAATGTACTACAAATGAGAGGGACTTTTGAGGAGGCCAAAGTGACTGGTAGGCGGTCTCTTGTGTCCACTGTGGGTGTAGAAGCACACTGAACCCAAACCATGCAGGAGCTTTCAGACTGTGGGAAGTTCTGTATTTATCCTAAGCAGCAGAGGCCCCTAAGAGATTTGAACAGGTGGTTGTCAAAGGGTCATGACTAGATTTAAATTTTGAGAAAAAAAAAAATCACTCTCTAGTAGAGTGTAGGAAGAAATGCATGATTGGAGAAGGAGGATAAAGATTTAAGATAGAGTGGATATACCCCAATAAGGGGGCTGTTGTGGCAAGCCACTTAAGAGATCATGGTGGATTCGTCCAAGGGAATAGAAACGTAAGAGTAGATTGAATGCTGATGCATTAGGACAAATCGATAGGTCACAACTTTGGGAATGGAGAAAAAGAAAACATTGAGCTTCCATTCCCCATCTGCAGAACAGACTGTTTATACTTTACCTATGTAACTGTCTTGCCATCTGATGCATAATATGAAATAATATACTATGCATTTAATGTAGATGTCCGATACAATAATTGCTGTAAATAAGTAAAGTCACTGTTGCTGTTATTACTGCCATCCCATGGAATGTCCTGTCAGAAGCTCAGCAGCAAAGACAGAGACTAGGAAAGTACTAGCCACAGAAGCTAGGTAAAGCGTATGAAACATATCCCCCGTGTAGACCACGCAGACTACGTCACCTGGCCACTGAGACAATGTTCCAGATAAATACGTGACACCGAATAGATACTTCATCTCAGCTGCTCTTGGGGGAATGGGGGGCTTGGAGACGGCTGAGAAAGCGCAGGTGGTATGATCATAGACTTCTGGTAAACTGAGTCACAAGAGTGGCCACGAATAAACCAAGGAATAGGTTCAGAAGCAGAACACAGACATCTAGCTTTTCATTTCTGACCAACTATAACTATACTAGGTCTGCATCCAGCAATACGAAGCTACAACACAGACGTGCGCGCGCGCGCACACGCACACGCACACACACACACACACACACACACACACACACACACCACGTCTGCAGGTCTCTTGCAAACAAGGCCCTGTCATCCCTTGGCTTAACGCCAAGCATCCGCTCACCATCCCAGCTGGTCTGTTGGTTCCCTGCCTCTTGCCCTGGACTAACGCAGAGTTCCAGATGCCCGGAGTCCCACATACCTTAGCTTCACGCTCTCGTTCCTCGGCGGTCTGTGCGCGCTTCATGCTGCCTCTAAAGCCTTCTTCGCCACCGTGGGCCGTTTCCACCCTCTCCCCGGCCCCCGCCTGCTGTGTGTAGTTCTCTCGGAGGCTCTTTCCCGCCTGGCTCCGTTCTCTCTAAGAGCCTCAAGAACTACGCTTCCCAGGATGCTCCGCGAGACTCCCGAGAACTCCTTGGGCTTTAGAGCCGAATTTCTCAAGTCAGCTAGCTGCACTAGCTTAGTCCACTACCCGACCCGCCGACGGCCGAGAGCCTAGGAGGGACTACATTTCCCAGCGGCAGCGGGACACACCATGTTTTCCCGTCCTCCTCTGGGCCTGCGGCAGCCCGCGCCCTGGGCGCTATAGCAACGGTAGCTAGCAGGGAGCGAACGCTGAGGTGAGTACCCTGTGAGGTGGGGGCCGATGCAGGTTGGCCAGCCCTCCCTCTGCCTCACAGCTGAGGGCCTGGGGTCCTCTCCGAGGCCTGGGGAAGGCCTGGGATTCTTGCGTGAAAAGGAATCCATCCCGACACACCTCCCAATAAAGGCCTGCTTCACTGTCCGCCCTGACCGCCTGCCAAACCAGAAACCTAGCTGCTAGGAATTGGCCACCCTGTCTCAGTCCTGCAGTTCGAAGAGCACAGTCACAGTTTGCTCCATTTCCCAGGATTTGGGATTGGATTTAGAACCTAAGACTCCCAAGGGACTTGTTTCTGTTGTTGTTGTTGTTGTTGTTGTTGTTGTTGTTTGGTGGTGGCGGCTGACGATTTTTAAAAAACAGGGTCTCTCCCTATGTACCCAGGCTGGCCTTGAACTAGCTTTTTAGCCCATGCTGGCCTCAAATTCAGTAATAGGTCTTGTCACAAGTTCCCACCACCCACAGTCAGTTCCTAGTGATCTATCTTTATTACTGTTTCTCATCCGACTATTCCCGAAGTCTCTTAGAGCCATTATAGACAAAGACATTGTTCAAACTCAGTGCCTGGCATTCATTTATTCATCCAACAAATGTGAACAATGATGCCCACCATGTGACATCAGATAGCGGAAGGGGCGTTATTTGGGGGAGAAGGGGACCAGTGAGAAGAAGCCGGAGAGGTGAGAGAGTTTGCAGGGGATAGCTATAAAGCAAAAAATAAATAAATAAATAAATAAATAAATAAATAAATAATATAGGTGTGAAAATGTAATATGCTAAATTAAAATTAAAAATGAATTCTAAGACAATGGATTTGACAGAACAACTCTAAAATAAGCGGTAGCCCGGTGGGATGGCACACTCAGGAAAACTCCAGCGTTTACACAGGGCACGTGGCACTTCAGTCCTAGCACTCAGAAAGCAGAGGCCGGTGAACCTTGAGTTCGAGGCCAGCCAGGCTTACATAGAGAAATCCTGTCTTTCGAAAAGAAAAGGTTAGAGAATTTGAGGCCAGTGTGCCTGGCGTTCTTGGGGAATCTGAGGTCAGCCTGGACTGCACATATTTCCTGCCGAAAAGCAAAGCTGGAAGCTGAGAGAGTCGGGCTGAGCTGTGACATAGGAGGACACAGGTAATGCAAGGGCCTTTGGTGCAAGATGGAAACCCTGAGCTTGAGGGAAGTGGGGAGCAGCGGGAGTGAAGCAGAGAGAGCAAGGGGGGGAACTTTTCCTGGGCATTGAGGAGGCCATGCAGCATGGTGTGAGGTTTCTTAGCCTCTACACGAGCCACACTCTGGGCCTGAAAACTCATCGTTGTACATCGAACCTGTATTTCATTGCTGGCATCCACCCACTCCACGCCAGAAGCGCTCTCAGTTGTGATAACCAAAAATACCACCACACCACACCACCAGTTCCTGGATGGATGGCCTTGAGCAGATGCGCTAGTGTGTGTTAACTTCTGCTTGGATGTCAGGAACCATCTGAGTCACTGTTGCATGCGCGGATCGCAAGCACATTGAGCATCCAGTGTGTTAACTTCTGCTTGTATGTCAGGAACCATCTGAGTCACTGTTGCATGCGCGGATCGCAAGCACGCTGAGCATCCAGTGTGTGTTAGCATCATCTTCTGCGGTCATTCTCTGAGACATATGTCCCTTGCAGCGTGGTTCTCAGCCTACCGCGAGTTCTAGTCAAATTTCTGGACCCTTTCTCTAGGAGATCTTCTTCATGCACATATCCTTAGAATCATCATAAGCTGAGTCTCCGTTTCCAGACGCTGGAATCCAAGAGCTCCCTTTATCCATTCAAATGACTGCTTAGTGCGTGCTCTTACCGCGTGCGCCACACTCGGCCCCAGCCTCCGAGACGGAGGCAAATAAGGTGAATAAACTCTCGACTTTCTTGGTCTTCACACTCTACAACCAACATTCTAGAACTTGGAGGTCTCTTCATTACAAGGGCTCTTCACTAACAGTCCACATCTAACAGTCAGAATGGAAATGGAGAATTTACTTATTTATTTTCTTACTGTGTATTGTATATCCATAGCCACATGCAGAGCTAAGTCACTGTGGTATGTCTCTGTAAAGAAAAGAAACTAAAAGTTCGAGAGCAAGCAAGACAAGCCAATATGTTGAGGTGACTCATCCCTGGAACTTGCCTGAAGTAACAAAGGAGAGGTGCAACAAACGTGGAAACACATCACAAACACGTGGAGCCCCTTTCACAGAGCTTGGAAGGGGCCGTTCCTTTGTACACCATGCAGACAGTTGGTGCTCCCAGACATCCCTGGCACATTTGCTAAATGCCCTGAGTTTGTAATCTCACTTGCTTTTAGAATAACTATGAGATGGGTATAATTTGTTCTATTTTTTAAATTAGGTAAATTTAGTGACCAGCTATTAGATAGTAGAGCAAACTATTTGCCTCAAGTTCATGAGGCTTTTTGTTCGTTCGTTTTCCCAGAATTCATGTTGTCTTTAAGGAAAGGAGTAGGGATAGCAGGTATATCTTAACTTTGGAAGGGTTTGTTTTTGTTTCAGATAGATGGATAAGAAAAGGAAGAATGCTGATCTTACCTCATTCCCTAAGAAAACTATGGGAAATCCTCTGCTGAAAGAGGACAGTCTTCGTGATTGGATGCAGTATTCCTTCTAGAATAGGAGCTTTCATCTCGCTCAAGCCGCACATGTGGGCAATAACATGTCCATTAAAGTTCTAGTTTCCTAGTCTCTTTATTTGGCTCATTCCATTGCATAGTTGATGCAATAACTTAGAAGAGTTTGTTTGAATTTTCTTTTCTCCACAGATAAGCCATGTCTGGTCCAAGCGATGAGACGGCAGGAGACCTGCCGGTGAAAGATATAGGTCTAAACCTCTTTGGAGCTGGAGGGTTACAAGGTACGGCCACCTGTTATTTATTACAGTTATGAACTTTGATCAGTAATTTCTGTACTTTTAATTTAAAGTATTTCTGATAGTCATACAAACCCAGCCATTTAAGTAACTATATAGCTCTTGATTGGACTAAACAAGACGAGGAGTTTAAAACACATATGGTATTTTATTGCGCGCGTCAATTATCAACAGCCCATAGCAAATGCAAGATCCCCTCTGCTCTGATAAAGAGTTGGTATAAATCATCTTTTTAAAATTCCACACGTGAGTAGAAACTGCATAGAGTATCAGGCCTCCAAACTGAATTGCCTGGTTTAAATCACATTCACCACTAAAACACTTCTTTATGTTTAAATTTTATACGAGAGGAAATGCCATATTTTAAAATTTTTGCCTTTCAAGTAGAGTATCTCAAAATGGCCTGTTTATGCAAGTGATAGTGAGTTTTCAATCACATTAATATACATTAAAGGCTTTCTTTATCCTTTTATCATTTAGTTGTTCCTGTAGAGTTGAATAGTACTTTCAACTGAGAAAGCAAAGCACTGATTTAAAGAGCAGCGTAGGCTGGAGAGCCAGGTTTATGTGTGTGGACAATGCCAGGCAGACCCTCATGCCACCAACTTTGCTTGTAGGAGGCTGGAGGTTCAAAATGTATCTTAAGAACTTTCCATATACCATTTAATCATAACAATATCAATGGCCAGGTTCAGCTACCATAGGAAGGTAGTCAGTGTATTGATCATTGAGAAATGACCACAAATATTAAAAGGAAACCCGATACTGAAGTAGTATCAGGTATTCACATACAAACAAAATTGAAGTGTTTAAAGCTATTTGAAAGTACTATTGGGTTTTGGTACTGTGTAAGGACTATTGGGTTTAGGTACTGTGTAAATCTTTTTAGGTTTTGGTACTATATAAGTACTATTGGGTTTTGGTACTGTGTAAATACTATTGGGTGTTGGTACTATGTAAGTACTATTGGGTTTTGGTACTTTATAAATATTTTTAGGTTTTGGTACTGTGTAAGTACTATTTAGTTTTGGTGCTGTGTAAGTTCAATCCTTATCATCAGTAGCTACCTTTGGTTTTTAATATCTCATTGAAAATTAAATATGCATATATATGTGTATATGTATATATGTTTAAAAGTTATAAAAGTCTGTTGTGTTTTGTTTTGTATTTGAGATAGTGTCTTACTACGTAACCTTGACTGTCCTGGAACTCACCGTGTAGATCAGGCTGGCCTTGAACGCACAGAAATCGCCCGCCTTTGCCTTCTGAGTGCTGAGATTAAAAGCAAATGCCACTATGTCAGATCTAAAAGTTAATTTTTCAATACATTAAATATCTTGTAGAGAAATGTTCTGTTAAACTTTCAGATGACAGGGTTTTTTATTTTGGAGGATTTGTGTTTGTTTTATAGTTTATTTTTCTATATCTTAGCCTCCTAATTTAGAGAAAAATGTCCTAATTGTATTATGTTCACTGAATTGTTCCAGCCTTTGCCCCTCCCCCCCATATATATATATATATATATATATATATATATATATATATATGTAGAGACACGGGCTTCTTCTTGCTGCCATGTTCATAACTAAACCTTGCACATGCTTTGGCACGTGCTCTACCACAGAGCTGTTCCCAGATCGGGTAGCCTGGCTTTTCCAACTCAGAGGCTTTACACCACTCAGAATAGGAATTAGGAATCTTTTGAATCAGGTCCTTCCTACATTCTGAAACAGTGATTAAGTCCATGCTAGTAAATAAAGTTATTGCTCTGATCCCTAATACTGTACATGAAGCATTAATGCCAGGGGTGCTTCACCTCACCTCAGGTCATTGGCACGAACAATGCTGTAACATTTTCTAGAGAAAAACAACTTAATTTGTAGGTCAGCTGGGGTGGGGGTGGGTTGGAGTGCGACGTTTCACGCCTGTATTCTCTCTCAGCACTTAGAAAGTAGAGGCCTAATGATTAGGAGGAGTTCAAGGTCATCCCAGCCACTCAGCTATAAAGAGGCTAACCTGTGCTACAGGAACACAGCAAGGGTGAGGCTAACCTGTGCTACATGGAACACAGCAAGGGTGAGGCTAGCCTGTGCTGCATGCAGTCCTGTTTCATAAAACAAAAAAAATGGAAAAAAGTAAACAGGAGAAAAATAGGAATATATCAGAGGTTCTTTTAGTACCCGCAGTTATCAGTTTTTAGAGACTATTTTCAGTGATGCTGCAATTAATGACCTTGGCATTTTTTCAGAAACTTCAACTGCACGAACAATGAAGACTCGCCAGGCAGTGTCACGTGTCAGCCGTGAGGAACTGGAAGACAGATTTTTGCGTTTGCATGATGAGAACATTTTACTTAAACAGCATGCCCGCAAGCAAGAGGATAAAATTAAAAGGTTATGATAAAAAGCTTTTAGCTTTTTTTCTTAACTCTGTAAAGTTTGAAGGATATAGGTTTTTTTTTTTATAAACTTAATTGAAAGCCCCACCTTCAATCTTTTCTGGAACAGGCAGGTTATAAATAAATAGAATTTTTTAAAAATGGAAAATCTTACAAAGTAGAATAATAAACCAAGAAGATTGTGTTTATTATGTCTGACGTTGCTGTTTGAAAGAACACAGCTAATAGCTAAGAGTGCCAGGAGTGTATTAGGTCTATAAATAACTTTGGGGTTAATATTTATGACTTAATAAGCAGATAGCCCAGCATCTGTTTTTTTACATGTCATAAAAGTTTAAAAAATAATTAACTATTCCAACTTGTTAGAATGCGTGTTCCCTTATGATTTGGGACTTACTAATGAAAACATCACTTATATCTGGGGCATGTTTAACTTCACTTGGGTTAGTCTTGGTTCTGTATTTATTTCACTCTCTGCCATTTCTGAAAAAGCACATTGTCACTTTTGATGGACATGTAAAAACATTGCATGCAGAAACGATGCCTTCAGAGTAATTTCTCTTCAGTTCCTTTGTACTCAGAAATACTGTGGCCACCGTTTGAGTGCCTGGCATTGGAAACAAAAGACTGCGTACAAGTCTGTATTCAAAATCGCATTCTGGGTTCAAAGTAAGGTGGACTCTAAAGAAAGAAGATGACTCTGTGCTTAGAGTTTATCCTACAGAAGTGACTCCATTTCACTTTCTACCCTGTAGACTTAGTTTCAGACCCACCAACCAGCCTTCTACTTTGAGTTGGTTTCAAGACATGGGAATGGCTACTTTTAAGATGTCCCTCGTTCATTTCTGAACAATAGCACACCCAGGTCCACCAGCCAGAAAGAGATGTGAAGTCTGTGACCACTAAACTGGTTTTTTTTTTCTTTTCTTTATATACTTAATTGGGCAGTAGAAGAATTGAATTCACAATCTGACCTTATTAGTAATTTGTCCTAACCAAAAAATAAAACCAGCTTAATTAATAATGAGCCACTTAGTTTCATTTGGGGGCGGGAACTGGGCTAGGAGTCGAGTGTATATATGTATTCTATTATCTTTCTGCAGTATCCTATGCTCAGGCCATTTATGCCCCTGAGACTTTTTACTAATGTGGAGTACTTACTTACTGAACATCGGCCCATAGCTGTAAATACCTTCTCATCCTTACCTCACTGACGTTGGCATGGATCCATGGATAGAGGGTCTTTACATTTATCCTTAAGGTGTGAGAGTCGGTGTCACCTCTTGTGTAAATATGGATTTTACAAATTGTCTTTTTAAGTAAATACTCAAACCTTACCACATAACTCACAATTCATTAGTAACTTAAATATAATAAAAACATTCCTGTGACTAAACAAGCACATCCAGCCTTGCATTTCCTGATGAGGTTTACTTAAAACCATGTCAAGAATTTGAAGACACTCTCTATATCCTTCTCTTGCATTAAAAAATCCTTTATCATTCTTCTGATGACTGATTTTTATATGAAATCTTTACTTTCCTCCTTATTGTAATCTATGTGTCTAAGTGCTAATCTTCCTGTAATAAGTGACTTCTCATGTGGATGGCCATAGGACACTGAGCAGGGCTCAGGACTCTAACCTCATTACTGGACAAGGCAGAATGTGGTTTTACTGGGTGATGATAACTGGTCAGGTTTCCCAGTGATAGATCATCCACAGTACTAGATGGAAAAGGAAGTAATCCACTAATTACCCTACCAGGATGTCTGTGGTACTCTTGGATCTTGGTTTTTATTATTCAGTATTCCTTATAAAGCATGCTTAGTGGATGTGCCTCAAGGGAAAGAGAAAACAATCCTAACTGATTATGTTATGCATAGCTCTCTCTGACGCCACATGCTGTAACCGAGTAGCCAGAAGTGTAGATAGACATGTATTACTACCGCATTTACAGAAGACTGTGCTTAGGGGAAAGACGTTTTTCTATGACATCCCAAAGCTATTAAGGGTTTTTTTTTTTTATTTCACTTTTGTTCCCTTAAGTAAAAGCTTCTGTCCATAACCATGCTAAAATAAAGCAAACCCCACTTAAAGAAAAATGTAGTGTGTTTTTATTTCCAATCTCCTGTCTGGGTCTTTATAAAAATAGATTCACTATAAACTAGAATCAGCTATTGAAGATGTGCGACCAATTTTGTAAAGTCTTGAACTTGTGTCTCTCATCAAAGCCACCTTTCCTTTCTTGTCCTGCCAAGATTTTTCCATTCCCTGTCAGGCATGTTTTCCATGCGTGTATATTACATCACCCCCATGTGCCCATTCTGTCTTTTGTTCTGTCTGACCAGTTTTTATCAAAACTTGAAAGAGTCAAAGGTATAAGTTCCTGGAATGTCAATAGAACAATTTATGTCAAAAATTTTTAAGTATCATTAAAATGATATTTCTTGCATGTAATTATTTTCTGAAATTAAACACAAACATTTGTTGAGCACTATCCAACATTTAATGTCACATTTTGGTTTATTTTGAAATTTCCGCTGGATTTTATATGTGTACATCTGTGAATCCTATCACTTTTATGATTTTTCCTTGTCTTAATCCTATAGATATATAAGATACTATCCTACCTAAATCTGCATAATCTTAGCTCACTTTTCAAAAGTTCTAACTCATTGTGGGTTGTAGGCATGGCCCACCACATCCACACTCTGTGACTACATTTAAGTACATCCAGTGTTCCTATATAAGGTCATGCGTTAAAAATTGCGTTTCTGGAACATATGGGGTAAATATGTGTCCTCTCTTTACTAACCTTAAATGATAAGCCTTAGGAAACTGCTATTTGTCAGTGCTATAAAGCAGATTGTTGCCCAGTGGTTTCAATTAGCATCAAAGGATTCTTCACAGGCAGTAATAGTTACATCAAAACCTGAAATTTATTATTCAGGTTCTGCACTGGAGTCTTCACAGCGATTATGTTCCTTTCAACAGAATGCATTTTATGCTGACTTCTCACATTCCTTTTCATCTTTTTATTATTTCCCTAGAATGGCCACCAAGTTAATACGGCTAGTTAATGACAAGAAAAGATACGAGCGGGTTGGTGGCGGCCCCCAGCGGCTGGGACGAGATGTAGAAATGGAAGAAATGATTGAGCAGCTGCAAGAGAAAGTCCATGAGCTTGAAAGACAAAATGAAGTCCTCAAAAACAGGCTAATATCAGCCAAACAGCAGCTCCAGGGCCAGGGGCACAGGCAAACTCCGCACAGTCGTGTGCAGGCTCGAATTAACACTGGCCGCAGGAGAGCTAGCGCAACCACAAGCTTACAGGAATGTCCCAGGAAAGGTAAAACAGTCACCAAACACTGCACTTAAGTCTAAACCTGTTTCCAGCTTTGTTTCTTATTCGTGTGCTCACATGTCTTCAAAGGGGGCTAGAAACAGTTTGAGGCTTGCTTTTTGCAAGATCATAATCCTGTAACAAAGTCGGTTTTGTTCAGGAATCCCTAGGTCACTCTAATTTATTTAGTTAAACAACAACAAAACTATTCTAGTAGGCATGTGTGAAACTAAGAGCAGTTGAGGCTGAGTTGAACGTGAGTTCTTGGACCTGCAAGCTGGTGAACTAGGGCAGATCGTCCCTGTTGATTTACTGTTTTCTTTATATGTAAAAAGTACTAGAGCTGGTGGTTATAAAAGTCTCGTCGTCCCTAAAATAATTATGCCATTAGTTTCTTCACACCGAAAAGAATGGTGTAAAGCCTCTCTGTATTACAAAGCAATTGTGCAGACCAAGGTAATTCAGGCATCAAGGCCAAATTCTTTCCACTCCCAAATGAACTTATTAAAACGAAACTAAAAGTGCATAAATATCTTAAGTCGCTGTTTTGAAACGACACTTCTAGAGAAGGAAATAAAATGGTCCCTCTAATTGATTTTTATTAGGAATATGCTTCACAGAAATATCTAACATCTTTTGTGATATTAAAAAGTGATGTAAGCCTTTAGTTATAATTTATTGAGGAAAGGGAAACACCATATGAACAGAAGGAGAGGAGAAAAAATTGTTGTAGTTTTCTTTTCCAAAGCAAAATGTTAGCACTGTCTCTTCCCTAGATAGTGAACCTTTGAAGTCAGGACGGCCTCCTCACGGACAGGAGGCAGCTGCAGGATGAAAGGGCTCAGCTGTTGCCAGCTATGTGAGATTGCGGTAGCCTTTGGGTATAATCAAAGTGAGCACAGCGAAGTATAAATCAGCAAACACACTCTGCCGTGAATTGTTATTTTATATGGAAGTCAGCCCTTGACCTCTCAGCCTCGTTTTCTTCATCTATAAAATGGAGTGATAATAATGCCGGATTAGGTAAGAGGAAGGAAAGTGGAGCTCCTCACTGAGGGACATTCTCTAAAGTGCCGTGTCCTCTCTGAACCTTAGTGTTGTCATCTAGAAATGCAAGTGCATGGGATGATATGGAAGGACTGCCGGGCCTTTCATGCTACATAAAAGTAATGCCCAAACTTTACATTGATATAGCAAGCCACTTGTGTTAAATTACTGTCCAAATCAAAGGTATCGGCTAACCCTCCTCTATTAAAAATATTTGTTTTAAAACTGACCCATGGAACATCAGTTTTTAAAAACTTATAAACTTAAATATCTCCTTATATCTATATTCTTTTTGTGATTTAGAACTGCTTCCATATTTGTAGAGTCTGGGACACAGAAATCACACACTGTGGTCAATGTTGATGAATATTTAATCATGGTGTGTGAGTAAACCTGAGGTGTCATTTGCAAAGTTAATCTTCAATGTGCAGTACACCCTTCCAGGTTGCCTTGAATACTGGGACGTGGGCCCAAGTTTTAGGACTGTCTTGGCTTGAGAGAGGGCTGAGTGAGAAACCCAGACTCCTCTGGCCCTTGGAGGCATCTTCCCTGAAACTGCTGTGGGGAGGGCTTCATTCTCTGTTTACATTTTGGAATAAATGGTGGTGAGCACTAACTCAAGTGTGATTGACATTATGTAGACACAGTTCTTACTGTGAAGAACCACCAAAAGAAAACTTGTAAAGTGTGTATGTTTGTAAAATACAGTCATTAGTGCCCAAGCATGGTATCAGCTTGTGATCCAACACCTAGTAGTACTCAGAAGACTGCAGCAAGTAGCTGGAGAGATGGCTCATTTCTCTTACTGAGAGCACTTACTGATCTTCTAGGGGACCCAGGTTCAATTCCCAGCACCCATATAACAGGTCACAAATGTCTATACCTCTTGTTCCAGAGCATCTGATTCTATACTCTGGCCTATGAGGGCACCACGATGCACGTGGTACACAGGCAAAAACTGGCATTTCACATACAAATGATGATGAAGACGAGGATAGTGATGATAAATTATTCTTTAAAACACTAAGACAAGCCAGATAGTGGTGGCCCACAGCTTTAACCACAGTGCTCAGGAGGCAGAGGCAAGTGGATCTCTGTGAGCTCGAGGCCAGCCTGGTCTACAGAGCTCATTCCAAGGCAGGACAGCTGTTACACAGGGAAACTTAGTCTTGAAAAACAAAAACCAGAAAAAGAAAAAAAAAAAGACATAAGATAAGATGTGGCATTTGAAGCCATTCTAGTCTATATCAGACAATCAAATCAAAACTGAAAAGAGTATGTATGTAATAACCATTGTTACAAATAATGTCCAAAGTTACTAATTAATAACCAAATCAGTATATTTTAAATTTAGTCTTTTAACTAATTTCTCTGCTAATTTTGAATTTCCCCATGATTGTGTGTGGAAAGCTTAAGATTTAGTATTGTAGCCCACGTGTCTAACTGGCCAGTTGTAGCACAGTGAAGTCTGGATGTTTCAGGCAGATCTTTTCCTGTGCTGCAGAGTAGGCTATGGCAGCATATCAGAAAGAGGGAATGAAGTCCATCTCCGTCTGTCAACTGAAAAATAATGGAATTTCTCATTTTGAAAAGGCTAAAACTTATCTAAAGAGAATTCTTTTCTATGTCTTTCGATCTTAGACTAGTCTCTATTTAAAGTCTGCTCTTCACTCTAATGCTTCTGGAAATAGAAGGTGACACATATAATTAAAAGTATGTCTGACTTTTAACAAACGGACTGTCCACGCCAAACTCCATATACTTTTTTCCCTTTAAGATGGATGTTTCCTTCTCTTGCCTAGGCTAGCTCAAACAGTCAGCCTGCCTCAAACTCCCAATCTCTGAGACTGTACGTGTGCGCCACCACACATAGCACATGCAGCTTTCTCCTTGAAAAATACTGTGGGGTGCTGCTTTAAGAGCTCTTGCTGGGGATTTCTTCTCAAACCACCTTTCTTAAATAGGAATTTTCTTATTGAGATTGAAAAAAGATGACATAAATTAAGGATACAAGATCAAAGGATGTTTATGATTAAATATAAAAGATCATTATCAAAACCACTAAAGGGGGACTAATGAGATGGTGCTTGCCCCAAGCTGGCGACCTGAGATCAGTCACCAGGACACATACAGTGGAAGAGATAACTGCCGTGTTAGTTGTTCTCCGACCTCCAGACGTGCTGTGTTACATGCATTGAGTGTCCCAGGGTCTCTCGCTCTCTGACTGTGGCTCTCTGCATCTGTTTCCTTCTGTTCCAGGAGGAAGCTTCTCTGATGGTGACTGAGCAAGGCACTGATCTATAAGTGTCAGAGAATGTCAATAGGAATCACTTTATTGCTACGTTCTTTTAGTAGAACAGTAATATTTGGTTTTACTATAGGTCAAATTTTTCCCTTCATACTTCAGTTTTTATTATAAATCTCTGAATAAAAAAAAATTAAAAAAATCTGTGAATTAAAAGTTGTGGTTCTTTCAGAAATTAGAATAAGAGTTCTAAATCCCAAAATGTCTAGACTTATTTCTAGATGGTTTCTTTAGGAGGACTGCTCAGCGGGCAATAGATTTTCTGTTTCGCATACTACCTGCTGGTGGCTGAGGGCTAATGCCCCCTTAGCTTGCACTTCTGTTGCTCCGTTCTAAGAACATATGTAGCCTAGTGTTTATTATAAATATACCTTTAGCAAATCAATGATCTGTCTTTCTTAACTTTCTTTCCATAACAGTTTACTACTTTATTTTTAGGTGTAAGATTCCAAAATATAGATGAAGCAGAAACTGCACAACCTACGCTCACAAAATATGGCAGTAGTTTACTTGAAGAAGCCAGAGGAGAAATAAGAAATTTGTATGTATTCTTTTTCGTGGTCATTTTAGAACTTTGTATATTGATTATGTCTTATTTTGATCCCTCTTTTTCCTTTATTGTAAACAAAAGCAGAGTATATATAAATAATTTGCTTTACTAAAATACAGCTAGTTCTGTGGAATAGTAACAGGTATTATATAACATGCTCTCAGTGGATAGTTTATCTAGCTGTACTGATGGCAGGGTGTATGTTCAATTTACCACCAAAGCAATGGCCTGAAAGTCCAGTCACTTCGAATAGTTTCTGTTTTAGAGACATTTTCGTTCCCATAAACTTACAGGCCTTTTTTTAGATCCAGACTCAACCCTTTTTGTGGGGAGGGAGACATGGAGAGGAATGAAGAACTGCTTGAAAGTCTGGCAGTATGTGATGCACATGGATGTCAGCTCTTGCTTTCCTGCGGTTCCGTGAGCCGTGCATTCTTCATCGCGTCATGGTTTCAGAAGAGTTGTTTCTCCCTCATTCATCTTTTTTCTGTTCATCTGGTGCTGTCAGTGTCTGAGCTGTGCAAATGGCGTTAGGCCCTTACTGGATCATCAGAACATTGACTAAGGAAAGAAAGTGTTACACTAAGACTATCAACCTTAGAACATTGCTAAAGAATAAAATGATACAGATTTGAAATGTTTTCTTTTGAATGTTTTAAATACCAATCACACTAGTTATCAACTTGTGAGGAAATAAAAGGCTAAATATTTTCTCATTCTTAGATAATCAAGTGAAAAGCCAGAGTTTGTGGCAGTTTCCCAGGACTCACTGCGCTGGGACGCTGTCAGACAAGGAAGAAATAAGTGCATGCTGGGGACCATAGTGTGTTTGGCACATTTCATGCTCGCTCTCTGAAGTGTTAATTGGGTGGTGTGGCAGCTGTGCATGTTACAGGGCAGGACATAGAATTATGTTGTAGAGTATCCAGTAGGTGATCAGTACATCCTTAACTGAATTCAACCACAGTCCAGTCTGTTGCCTAGAACAGTATCTTCTAAAAGGCCATCTCTTAAATTGTCCCAGATATAAGTCCAAGTCATCACATTGAATCTGCTGTTATTCCACTGTATGCAGAAGCCACTTTATTAACTTTTGTTTGTCCTATATTATAATAAAGAGCTATCTTTGCCCTGACTTTAAATATTACAAATTTCTCCTCAAACTGCAAATTCTTATCAAGATTCTTTATTGCAGAGAAAATGTTATTCAGTCACAAAGAGGCCAGATAGAAGAATTAGAGCACTTAGCAGAGATCCTGAAAACTCAGTTGAGGAGAAAGGAAAATGAAATTGAGTTGTCTCTTCTTCAGCTTCGAGAACAGCAAGCTACAGATCAAAGGTATGTTAAGACTGAAATGTCACTTTGATATGCTCCAAATTAATTTTAAATAATTTAACATGAACCATAGGATGATAAATTCATGTAAGCTATTTCTGTAAACCCTATTTCTACTTGATATTCTTTGGGTAGAAATGCTGTAGCCCTACTAACTGTATCAAGTACTCCTGTGAAGAAGGGGAAGTTTTCCCTAACCGTCCTATGGCTGGTTGCCACTCTCATCTCTCTCTGTTTACCCCACTTGTCAAGACTCAGAAGTTTACATCATGGGTCACACTGCTCAGAGAAGCATGGGTAGCAAGCTGCACTCTCATACCTGTGTTTAAGTCAAGTCTTAAGGGTTTGCTCAGCCTGTAGTTCCACAATGCTTAGCAGCATGTGACCACAAAAAGATATCATGTCTCCTTGTACTCAGTTTATAAGAAAATCTTTTGATTGTTGTGGTTTATGATCCACCTTGGCAATAGTTTCCTTGTGACCACTGCACTGTATTTTGGTGTTTTATAAAATGTTACTTTTGTTCTCTCTCAGTGTTTGGTTCTGATCATATTTGTTCATTTGCGTGTTGTCATGGTGCTTTGAACAAGACTTCTTTTCTCCACAGAATCTCTTCAGTTACCTTCTTTTTACAACCTTTTCTCTTCTTTTGACGAAACTACGGATAGTAGCTTATGGGACCCTCATGTATACAAAACTCCACTTCAACAGCTGTTAATATCTTATCAATCTTACTTCATTTAAACTTACTCTTCTGTTTCCTTCAATTAGCTAGTCCTATCTACACTGTCACTCATAAATAGTTGAGAATGTATCTCTATGCCCAACAAAATTAATAGTCATTTATTGATAGCATCTAACAGCCAGTTTTTATTCAGACTTGTCTAAAGATATCTTTTTACAGTTCATTTTATTGGACCCCAAATGAAATCGCATGTTGTAGTGGTATCGCTTTTGCTCTTTTCACATATCTCATAATCTGTTAAAATTAGACAGTGACTTGACTTCTATTTCCCCATTGTGAACTATGTGACATACTGGGCAAGTTCCTCTTTTTTTTTTTAATATAATTTTTTATTGAAAAAAAAATTTCCGCCTCTTCCCCGCCTCCCTTTTCCCTCCCCCTCCTCCCTCTTCTCTCCCCTCCCCCCACTCCTCTCCCCCTCCCTCTCTAGTCTGAAGGGCAGTCAGGGTTCCCTGCCCTGTGGAAAGTCCAAAGTCCTCCCCGCTCCATCCTGGTCTAGGAAGGTGAACATCCAAACTGGCTAGGCTCCCACAAAGCCAGAACATGAAGTAG